TTACCCAGACAATAGGTTGACTAAGTCCATGTCTTTATGACCGTATTCCGAGTAATGATGCATGGCATTTTCCTCAGCTGGTAGACTTGGCACTTGCCCTAGAGCACTAGGAAGTCAATTCAGCCTCATTTCTGATGCTTGATCTTTTTCTGAACCATTAGTTTGCTATACAACAGGTGACCTGCTTTTAATAAATTTTGGAGATTGGGAAAGGAAAGAATATCGTAGTAGAATTGGAAGTATTCCAACTATCTTTTTTATTTAATGTATTTTATGAAACTGTTTCCTATGTGTCCTGTAATCTGGTTCTCCTGAGGTCAGATCCTTGATTGAGCATAACTATTCCGCTTTGTGTCTGCTTCTCTTTCTGTTCCTGGAGGAAGTTATACGACTCTTGTTCTTCCTTTTGATGCATTAGGAAAGAAGCAGGTTTGTAAAACGAGAAGAGCTCTTTTTTAATCTAATTGAGCATGTCAAGCGCAATGTCCTACAATTTGACAAAAACTTCTATCTACAAGGTGTTGGTATCCCTCAAGGAAGTATTATATCCTCTCTTCTTTGCTCATTGTACTATGGGCATCTTGAGCAAAGTGTGGTTTTTCCTTTCCTGGAAAAGGCTCATGAATTTGCCACTGATGGTTTTTCTACCAGACAAAGTTGTCAGGGGGTTTCTGGTTCTAATGCAGTAACTATGTTGGAGATGGATGATTTACCCAATCCTAGTTTTCTGCTTCTCAGATTTATTGATGACATTCTTTTTATATCGACCTCAAAAAGACAGGCTGCTAGTTTTTTCTTGAGGCTCAAAAGAGGATTTCGGGATTATAATTGCTTTATGAATGAGGAGAAGTTCTCTTTGAATTTTGATGTTGGTCCCCGCTCCGAGTCAAGGATTCGATCTCACAGGGTTTACATTGATGAAAGTGGTAATTCATTTCTGCGATGGAGTGGCCTGCTCATAAACTGTACCAGTTTAGAGGTTCAGGCAGATTACACAAGGTTATATTTTCATTGATTCCTTTGGCTCGTTATTATTCTGGAATATAGCTTCTATGTGAAGAGGTTTTGGTGCATAGATGTATCTTATGGCTGTATGATATTCTTATGCTTTTGGGATGATTATTATGCGTGAATAAACTAAGGAGACTTAAAGTCACTGATAGTGAAACTTATAATTCTAGCAAACTTGTAAATCACGAAGGAAGCATCCGCTGGTTGTGATTATTCATCGCAGCTGCGTCATGTCCACATGTATGTCTAATGCTTCTTATTTCATATATATTGTGCAAGTGCAATATCTTGCTTAGTTGCATGAGATTTTGCATGAATGAGATTGTTCTGTTTTTTCATCACATAATGATATCAGGCTATTACGATTTTATTGCATCGGTATACTACAATTATTTCGCTGATACTACATGTTAAAATAAGTTGCTCATGTGAAAGGAAAAACATATCAGGAATTTTTATGGAGCATTAGCTTTTCTTTGTAACTCCTCATTATCTAGCGGAGTAACTCCGTTCACTGTTAGCAGGTATCGAAAAACCCATCTGCGTTCTGCTCTTACTGTCCGTTGGCAAGGAAAACCTGGTTCTCATTTGCAGACGAAGTTATGCGATTTTCTGAGGCCTAAATGCCATCCTATATTTTTCGATTTGAATATTAACTCAGCAGCTGTTGTCAGATTAAATGTCTATCAGGTTTTTCTGCTCTGTGCTATGAAGTTCCATTGCTATGTTTGTGATTTATCATACATTTGCAAGATTAAGGCGAGTTCTTATGTGAAGATGATCGAGACGTCTTTCAGGTAATGGCATCCATTTCTTCCTAATAAGCTAGTTGTTTTACTTCCGTCGATTCTCTAAGTAAGTTCTAGTGTTTCATTGGAATCGATATTTATTATCTTCATCTTGTAATCGAGAATCAAATTTGCCAAGAAGTTTTTTCCTTATTTGGCATTTTCGTTTTGAGTTGCTCACATGTAAATTCTCAAAAAAGCAAGATGACACGTAAATTCGATTTATCATACTTCAAATGTTTGAATGGTATTTCTGTTCTGCTCTTGATTTATTGTATTATCAGGCACATGTTCTCTCTGATAAAGAAGAGGATGCGCACGGTGCGTCTCGGTCCTTCTCTTCGCCCGGTTCTTCAGCTGGAGGAGGGAGAAGTCGAGTGGCTTGGCTTAGTTGCTTACATCCGAACGCTGGAGAGAAAGCAGTCGAGGCATAAGGACTTGCTATCGTATCTGAAGTCCAAGTTTTCCAGACACGGGATTAATCGGAACGTATCACCTCAACTGATGTATGCAGTTGATGGATCACATTCATCCTCATTGTGGAAAATTGAGTATTAGGTTCTTCTAGGGTGAAAATAACCCCAAGTCCACTGTTGCACAATCCATTTTCAAGTTGGTTTTCATGTGACTGTTCTCTCCCAAATGCCATTCTTTTTCTCCACTGTGATGATAGAACCGTACCAGATGCTTTTCACTCCACTTTGGTGAACCAAAAGTGGATGGGCAGTGAGCAATTGTAACACCTTTTCAAATTTCAGGTGGCACCGAGTGATTGGCTTGTGAGTATCACATCAACTTTGATTGCTGAGTGAATGAAACAGGAGAAAATATTAGAAGCATATCTTGCCTTCTACTCATTGATCGCTTACATATTTCTATTTGCACGTTTACATTAATTGTCCTTTGTCCATCGGATTCGACGACTTGGACAGTAGGGACGATGGTGATTGTGTTGGAGAGCAGTGCGGTTGAGGTGGGCGGGGGCGGCATTTGAGGTAGTGGGGTAAGAGAGAGGCGGACGGGGGTGGCGATTGAGGTGGTGGGGTAAGAGAGATACAGGGGAAAGAGAGGAGGAGAGTGGTGATTGTCGGTCGCTGACCGGTGAGCGTAGCTGAGTAAATAAGTGACAATTTGGTACATAAGTAAACAATTATCATAGATGAAAAGAAGTTACGGATACAATGTTCAATATTGTAAAAGATTTATGTTCAAATCTCTCATTTTATCTCTATATAATAGAGAAAATACGATTTCAACCTCAAATTTTGGCTTAAAAATTCATGAAACACACAGTGAATTATAATGTTCATGAAAAGTAAAATCATGATTTGAAAGCAAATTAACACTCATGTAATGATTCCTTAAAATCTCTAACACTTTCTAATCTTATATTTTAATTTTTCTTATATATGGTAAATTAACATCTTTCTTGTTTCATGAAGATAAGACTGAATCTTTGAAAACGTTTCTTATAGTTTGCATTATATTTTTTCTTCCACACACAGAGGGTGTGCTCTTATTCAAGTACATACATACATATAGAGACGGATTAGGACAAATAATTAGTCTACTAAATCGCTTTATAGAGTTGACACTAAAAGTGATGTGATACGTTTTAAATTAAAGCTAGACAAAGAGCAAGAAAAATAGTGAAAAATATTTAATTGAATTCCTTTTCTAAATATGATTTCAATTGTCTTTTTTTTTCGGTCTGTTCTACTTTAATTCTCAACTTACTCTTAGACTTTTGCCCTACTTCTTTGCGGAGCATGAGAATGGAAACCCACATCTGAAACTAAAATTCAAAGAAAAGCAACTTATGAAATACTTGATAATTATTTTGAGTTGGGATAATGACACAAATAGTTTCTGAATTTTAGTTTAATGTTCAATGTGGTTCTTAAACTTTTAATTTGTTCAATGTAGTCCTTGAACTTTATCCTAATATTCACTGGCCCAATTCCAAAAAAAACCCTCAACTTTACACTTTGTCCCAATTATATCCTGAACTTTTGTTTTTGTCTCAAGAAAAACCACAAACTTTTATCCAAGTCCCAAATCTGCCATCCCGTTATAAATCCATCCAATTAACGTCAGAAAAAAAAAAAAAAAACAGAGAACTGGCAGCTGCGGCGGTGGCCAAGCCTTCGCCGATGGCCGCCGCCACAGCCACCGGGAAGGAGCGGTGGCCCTCGCCTGGGCCTTCCCGAAGGCCGGCGACCTCGTTGGCCTGGGCGGCGTGCGGCCCCGATCCTGGGGCGAGGGTTGCGCCCTCCCCGGATCGGGGCCGCACGCCCTCGCGGCGACTCGCCGGGGCGGTGACCTCGCGCCCTTGCCTGGGCCTTCTCGAAGGCGCGACCCTCGCCGGCCCGGCGAGTCGCCGCGAGGGCGTGCGGCCCCGATCTCGGGGCGAGGGTCGCGCCCTCCCCGGATCGGGGGCCGCATGCCCTCGCCGGCCGACTGCCCGGGCGCGCCCTCGCCGGGCGGCGAGGTCGCCGGCCTTCCGGAAGGCCTAGGCGAGGGCCGCCACTCCTTCCCGGCGGGCGTGGCGGCGGCCACCGGCGAAGGCTTGGCCACTGCCGCAGCTGCCGGTTCTCTATTTTTTTTTTCTGACGTTAATTGGACTGATTTATAACGGGAGAGTAGATTTGGGACTTAGATAAAAGTTTGTGGTTTTTCTTGAGACAAAAAAAAGTTCAGGATATAATTGGGACAAAATGTAAAGTTGAGGGTTTTTTTTAGAATTGGGCTAATATTCACTATGGTTCCTGAGCTTTTAATTTGTTCAATGTGATTCCTAGATTTTTAGTACATGTTCAATGTAGTCTCTAAACTATATGAAAATATTCAATGTAGTCCCTGAATTTGAGTTAATGCAAGGATTACATTAAAAAATTTTATATAGTTTAATGACTAAATTAAACTTGTATAAAAAATTCATGGATGACATTAAACTAATTAAAATTTTAAGGACTACATTACACACTAAGTCAAAGTTTAGGGACCACATTGAACAAATTAAAAGTTTAAGGACTATATTGCACATTGAGTCAAAGTTCATGGACCGTTTGTGTTATTTTTCCTTTTGGGTTCAAAGTTCAGAAGACGAGGGATTAATCGATTATTGTCAATTATTTGAATTATCACAAATTATGATTTTATTCAGCGACTCATGAAATATAGAGTAGAAGTGGTCATTCTTAGCATTGGTCTAAAGATTGTTTTGCGCTCTTCAAAACTACAGTGGATTCTTTTCAAGAACGCTTGTTTTCTCCGGTTCAAGACACAAAGAAGCGCGCAATCTTCCTCTGCAAGAACAAGAATTCCAGCTCAGCAGCCGTCATCCCCCCGGTTCGTTCGTACCTCCATTTGTCCCCCCTGAATTCTGTCGTTGTCAACCGAGTTGCGGCGTTTCTTGCTCTCAGGGTTCGGTTCTTGGTCGACCCGGGATCGATCACTGAGACAAGCTTCCCTTTTCCTTTTCTGGGTTGCCCTTTTTAGGATCGGTTTTTCACTTGGGAATGTTGTTTGAAGAATTTGAAGCGATATTTGGGGAGCCCAGGGTGGAATGGTCGAGCGGAGGAGCTCATCCGCTGCGGCGGTTGTTGTATTATGTCCACGCTCCGGACCCTTCTCACCTCAGGATCCACGTCACGGATTTCCACTCCAACACTTGGGAGGCCATTCGCTCTGTTCATCAGCTCGAGGACATGGTCTGTCTTCTTGCCTTTTGATTCCCCTTTTTGTTTCATTTTATTTGGTTCTGTTCTTATTGGTACAGATTTTATATTGAGGACTTTAGCTGTGGTGGGTGTTTTGTGAACGGGAAGGAGGGAAAGAGTCGATTTCGAAATTTTCTCGTTTGTTTGGTTGTGCTTAGTTTGATTGATCAATGAATGTAGTATGCTTTTATTATAAAATTAGTGAGACCAACATATAAATCTATGGGGGCACAAATCTTCTTCCTTTTTTATATAAACCCTCTTTGGGAATCAGATAGTTATTTTGAGTGAGTAAATTGTTGGGCATGCATTCGTCTTATGGCTAGTTCCAATCTCCAGATCTCTGAGTTAAGTGGGGATGTAAAAGAAGCCAAAAAAAAAAAAACAAGCAGTGATGAATAAAGGAGAAAATAAAATACAACTAGATCTAGTATGAGTAGGCAATTAGAGCAATAGAGATAGGATTTGTAGTTGGGTCTTTGAAAAGGTAAGCAACTTACGTTCACTAGAATTTATATGAGCTTGGAACTTCCGGTTATCTCAGTATGAATTAGACATCTTTAGCTCCGTGTCAACAATTCCTGTTTTTCTCCACAAGGGATTGTGAGTACGTGATGTCCTTCAATGGTATCGCAGGTCTCTTTACTAGTTTGTATTTGTGGTGCACAATTTTGTGGAATTTAGGTAGTGGCTATGATTGATTTGATAGAAAAGAAGGTATAGTTTGTGTTCTTGCTGGAAATTTCCTGGAAAAAATGGTTGCATTCTCCCTATGATTTCCTTTCTCTTGTCCTGGCATTGGATGTAAAATTCTTAGGTCCTTAAATCTCCTTGTTTGAAGATTTAATATCTGGATCCACAGTCATTTCTAATTTGTTTAGGGTTCTTTCTTGTCCCTGAGCCTGATGTTTCTCAACTAGTCATTGGTGGATATATTGAGGTCACAATAACAACTTGAGCTGATGAAAAATGTCAATATCTACTAACATTCAGAGCCTAACTAGTGATAATTGTTTTTTACAAAACCGAACTAGCCGGCCCACTTACTCCAGGAACAGTGGTGTTACTGTTTGATCAAGGTCATTGTCAGTGTCATTCTCATCAAAAGTCTCTATGAGCTCTACGAAGAGAAAAATGAGTGTATTGTTGTATTTTGAGACAACTGGTGAGAAACTATTTATAACCTTAATGATTCTCATAACTACTATCCGACAGTTCGATTAGTTAAATACTTCCATCTTTCATATAGCTGTGAGGTAGTCATACTATACCTTTTGAACTGCAAGTGCAGAGGGACAACATTGGGATTGGTGGCTCTTGGTCTGAGTTCATTGACTATTTCGTGGCTTCAATAAAGTCTGAAGATGTAAAAGTTGTTCTGCATGGACAATCGGACTCAGGTGGTGAGTCTCGTTTGTTCTTTGCTCTTTTGTTGCCTTTTCTAATTTATGCTCCTTATGTTATTACCTCTACCTAGTTATGTTCATCTGAGATTGCCGCTTTGATCTGTTTATTCATGATATTTGGCAACTTGTAGAGGTGAAGTTTCTTCATGTGGCTTGAATTTGGATGTCATGTCATTTTCTGGAAAATATATATTTTTAGCTTCAAGGAATGTCCTAATGTGAAAAAGATCCTTTTCTCCTAGCAAGAGACTTGCAATTCTTAAAGTTTTAGAGTCCCATCCTTCACTGCAAAAGATCCTTTTCTCCGAGCAAGAGACTTGCCATTGTTGAAGTCTTAGATTCCCGGCCTTCACTGCAGTTATATCACGATGACGTTGCAGAAAAAGTGGCCACTAAAAGGTTGCAGTTGGGTGAGGGAAATCAAATACTTCTCGAGTCACTCTGAGTTTCTTTTTCATGTAACTGCCTCAGGAATATTGCACAAGACATCTTTGACTATTCTTAATGAAATTGTAGATGGAGACTAATTTGCCGTCAATATCTTTTCAGTTGACTATGGGACTTTTTCTGTGTATTTGATTAAGACAAGCTTTACTGGACCTCTAAATGAAAGGTTTCTCAACTGTGATGAAATTGGTGCCTGATTGATGAGAAAGGTAACTTATTCTTGGATATCCACAGTTGAAATACCTTGTTGGTCAGAGTCACTAATGGTGATTCTGAAGATTTGAACCTGGTCTAATAACATATTCTCATCTTGTTGATGTATCTCTACAAAGAATAAATGTGTAGTTTGATCAGTAAAAGTAGTACATTTGCTTCTTCCTTCATTATATTATTATGGTGTCTTTATGTGTTAAAATTTTGGAACTTGCTTGAAAGTGTAGATGATATGCCAGTAGATAAACTTGAATCTTCTGATATGCGGCTGCTCGAAGCTAGTTGTAAAAATGTTAGACTTGTAGTCAGGAGACTGGGAATTGTCATTATGTACCACGAAATAATGTAGCATTTAGGGTGTATCCTGCCCTATTCGACCGAACAACTTACTCTGGCTGTTTCACCCTATTTGCTGGTAAACTCAACTGCATTACCGTTGGAGTTGTCATCAAGATCTTTAGACACCCTAACAGATAACAACAGAAATTGAGAGACAACCAGTATCTTTCAGTTATTTTGTTTAGTAATTGGTGAGTCTATACTTATAGTCGCTCTGATCTGCTACTTCCTTGAGTATCATTTGACAGAGAAGCTGCAAAATAAGTTGACGTAGATGGGAGGCATCTTTTGAAAATTTTATGAGATTTCAGATCATCTGCTTTTGTTCTTGCAGGGGCTACATCTGCAAAGTTAGTTGCTCAGAAAGCCAAAGGAATGCCATTGATATTTGTTACTCTTGTAAAACTTGTGGATTTTGCTGCAAGGGAGGTGATGGGCAACCTGTCAATGCAGCTATTCATGGCATTCAAGAACACTCAGACTTCACTTGCAGAAGGTAGTGCTTCATGTGTTAATTTTTGTGAAGCTTTTGTTGGATAGATGCTCATTCTCTTGCTTGTCACTTCAGAACAAGAACACAATCACCAGTTGACAAAGCCTGTAACTGCTGAAAAGGTAGGATATAGTTCTATGTATTGTTGATATTCAATAGTTGTGTACTTTTTCTCTCACTGACGATGCAAATTTCTCTTTTATGAGTAATGTCCCTGCTCCAATCATTTAAGTATCACTCAGTGTTTTTATGCATGTTCTTGATCTGAATCCTGTGGTATGTTCCTATTGTCGGGAGAAGAATGAAAGCATCCAGAACAAACTTGAGTCATTTTCGAAGAAGCAGAAGTTGCCCATAACAAGCGCGTTGGCCATGTCAGATGCTTCAGACCCTTCTACAGGTAATGGCTCTATTCTCTGTTATCTTGCATTCTTAAAATATAACAATGCACAAACTGCTGCTATTGATTATGGTTTTTCTGTGATCTTGTATTTGTCTCTATTAACTTGTGGTTTGAAGTGAAGGATCAGCTTTTGATATTATTCTTGTAAAAAGCAGTGATTGCACCACTAGAAGCTATTGCATTTGGGCAGTGACATTGGAAAAATGAGTTTACCAGGAAGTAAGGGAGGATATTATGACTCATTTACGAGATGATGTATAAGGAGACATATAACTGATTCACGTTGACTGAGTTTGGGCATTTTTAACGACAAATACAGCTTCGTTTTACATTTTCAGTGCCTTTTCATGATCTATTGTTCAGTCTAACCACCTTACATTTTTTTTTTACTTATCAAACTTCAGAGAAAGTAGTAGCACAAGATGCAAGCTCAAAAAGAGTTACTAATCGTGTTGTCCCTGCTCATAGGAGGTAATACTCAGCTGTTTATTCTTATTGATTTTACTGATTGAGCTACTTCAGTATGGCTAGTAACGTCAATTTTCTATCAGGTCAAAAGTAAGGGGTGTGCTCCTGCAAAATCCTGAAGATGTATAGCTAGACGTGGGAAGTTATCCTTCAAGATGGTTTACTTTGTTCTGTAAGTACAACATAAGGTGTCGGAATCAGGAACAAGATGTTACACCCAACCCTTAGGATAAACACTTAGTTTTTTATTTTTATTTTTGAAGTTATAATTTCAAGTCTGTACATGTTTGTGAAATCTAATTGAGCTGGTACATAGTCTTGCCTAGAAGGTCTTGCAATTTATGGCGTATGAGTTTCTGCTAACTGGAAGAGGGAAGTCATCATTTACTTAAGTTTTTTATTTGCAATATGTAACGTATTGATGAATTACATTGGGAGAGTCTCTGCATCTTATTTAGTAAATGCTTGCTAAATTTCCATGTTGTTGGTCATGCTTGCTGATCACACATGTTAATGCAATAGTACCCAGCACTTGTGAATGATGGCAAGCAAATAGATATTACGTGATAAACTATTCAAGCGATTATGACCACCCGAACTGAAAATGGACAATGAGGACTCTGTCAAATGGCAGCATGACTAAAAACATGATGTTTCATTCCATTTCAGAGATTTTATGGAGCACTCAGGTAATACATTGAAATAGAGTCATCTTTAGATGTACTTCTTTATGCCTTGTGGATTTCCTTCAGGTGCAATTTATACAGTGCTGTAATCTTACGCCGTCTTACTACTACATGCCTTCTTCTAAAGTCTATTGTAGTTTGTCGTTCCTCTCTTTCTTTAGGCCTTCTGAATTTCAACCAAGTTGTTGCTTGAACAATGCTTGTGCTACTCTTTTTCCTTGGGGCCTGGTTGAGTTTTGGTATTAGAAAATTATGCTGTGGACGAGTTTTTTCCTGCCAAAATGATTAATGGAATAGTTGGTCTGTTGAATATCGATTGGATAACCTACCATCAGCTGGAGCAATTGGAGAAAGTGAGCGTGCCTGAACTAGCTGCGTGGATATGGTGTGGTGACTACTGCTTCTCTTGGCTAATATGTTAGATTCTCATGCTTAACTTTTCCTTTTTATTCGCTGCCGCCACTTTATGATTCTGCTTCGGTTAGTTTAGATCTAGAATTTGTGAGAGTTTGCCAATCACGAGATTCCTATTGAGAACCTATTAGCTTTTACGGACTGGGATTTCCTATATTGATTCATAGCTGGAGCTGCCATGTTTCCATAGTGTGCTGTGTTGCAATCACAATCACATGTGGTGGGCATGAACAACCAAATTGGCTTACTTGGCTACTTTCTGCAACCAGATGGAATTTTTTATCTTGTAGACTATCTGCATATGAGAATAACGCGGGACAGATTGTTCTTGCGGTGGACAACTGCGAGGTGTCACTATTGGTGCTTTTCATTTGACAGGCTGGTGATACCCTTACAGTAGCCCTTTGAATCTGTTTGACCTCTGTCTAGAATCACGATCAGAACAGAATCTGATACATCAGTTTGTATTCTGTTAACATGATGTGAAATATCTTCACTAGAGAGGAATCGACCATCAAAATGGAGGAACAGAAAAATCACTTCAGACTCCAAAATGTGCACTTGAGTTTATAAGTGCTTTTTCATGGACAGGAGATTTGGATCGTATGGACAGCACTTATGTAGCTACTAAATTGTACAGAATCTGATATCCGGGTCGGACCCATTTCTTTCGATGTGATCGGCGTCGTCTATAGGCGCTTGAGCACGCGGAAGATGAGTTTCTAATACAAAAATTTTAAACTGCAGACGGTGTACTTTAAAAAGACTATTTAAACATTGATGTATATTTGTTTTAAAGAAAATATTACAGCCACAAGAAGCATCTTCTTCAAGGAGAGAGAGACAGAGAGGGACAAGGAGGGGTCACCCACCAACCATCACTCGACCAACAAAACCTCATAGTCTTCAAGCTAGAGCCCCTCGGAGGCCTCTCTGGGAGCATCTACATCTAAGGATGACATAGGAAATGCATCTGTAAACTAAGATGTAACAAACCATGACGAGCACATTCCTCCACCTGCTTTCCTCTCCATAACCTACCTCTCTGAGCACGTCCTCTCCGGTCACCACGCATGTCCCTAACATAAACTCCAAGCACTTACCCGAATTCGAGAACTCATTGATCAGGAAGCCCTCAAATGGGTACTTGAACAGCGAAACGTAATGCATGAAAATCCAGTAATTCGGTATCTCCTGCTTCGAGATGAAGTAGCCCGAGAACAGAAAGAAGGAACCCATCACGCCTGAGATCACCGAGTTCCCAACAATGAAGTTTGGCACCAGGGCACTGAAACACACGACGACTGAGTTCGCCGTGTACAGAATCAACCAAATTATCAGCAAGAAATGTAGGAATGCTGTAAAATTGCAGTTTAACCCAACAAGCCAGTACAATGGCATTGTGAATAACACTGCAAGGATGAGCAAAAATGGCAAGTAAACAAGCCCATTTGCAATTGCATAGGATGAGACTCTGTAGCTTCCACATGATGTCTCTTTCATCAGAATCTCCCTCTCCTGCAGAAAGATCGGCAGAGCCTCCGTAGTGCATGACAACAAGAACGTCAAGATGAATGCAAACAAGCCCACCCTTTCTTGAGCACCATCCAGATCATCCTTCAAGTGGTAGAAGATGGAGCCAAGGACAAGCCCCGAGACCAGCATTTGGATCGTCCGCCACGCGAAGAGCTCCTTGGTCCGGAAAATGTTCTTCGAGAACCGGTGTGTTAGCACGAGAATCTCTCCCAGCCGGGAATTAGCGAAGCAGTGAGGGAGGTCAATGCCGACATCGATGGTGTCTTCATCAACGACCTTGGATTGTTGGAAGAGCTGTTGGAGAGTGAACTTGCCACTCCGGCTCTCGCCTCCCAGTCCTTCCTCTCTCTTCTGTGGTGGTAACTGAGGAGGCATTTCGACTTGTTGCACTTGGTTTTGCAAGTAGTGGTGGCTATCGATGGCCTCGATGGACTCGATGGCAAATTCAATGACATTCACATGAGGTGGATTCGGCAAGCCCATGAGCCTCAACTGGACAGCAAGCTGATCAGTAGTTCCCTGATGAAGCACTGAGCCATTGGCCATCAATAGGATTGAGTTGAACAGCTTCACAATCCGAAACCCCGGTTGGTGTATGCTCAGAATCACAGTCCGGCCTCGGGTCTCAGCCATCGTCTTGAGCAGATCGATGATCTGAAGGGCCGAGTTACTATCCAGCCCTGAAGTGGGCTCATCGAGAATCAGGACCCGAGGGTCATGTATAACGTCGACCCCAATCGAGACGCGCCGCCTCTCTCCTCCAGAGACCCCGCGGACACGGTCGTCACCTACCCTGGTGCCTGCCACGTGTTCTAGCCCGAGCTCCTGGATCAGAGACTTGACCCTTGATGCCAACTGTGATCCAGGAAGCCTCAGCCTCAGCTTGGCACTGAACATCAAGGTCTCCTCAACAGTCAGGAGTGGGAAGAGAGTGTCCTTCTGAGTAACATATCCAGTTATCTTCCTGAAATGAGCCTTGTCAATGGGCTTCTGGTTCACAAAGATCGAACCGTTTTGCGGGGCGATTTTTCCCGCCAGGATTTCGAGCAATGAAGACTTTCCGGCGCCGCTGGGGCCAACGATCGCGAGGATTTCCCACGATTTCGCCCGGCAATTCACATCCTTCAGGACTTGCTTAACTCCCCGATCTTGACTACCTTGCTTTGGTTTCTTTTCTCCTTCTAATTTCCCATTGATCTTTGGGAAACGAAACTCTGCCTTTCTTGTACTGATTCTGTAGTTGATACCAATGGCTTCAATCTCACACCCTTGTTGCTTCATTGAAAGAGAAGATCGCAACAATGTGTTTTGAGTTTAGTCAGCTTCTCAAGCCAGGCTCAAGTTCTGTGCCAAGTTTATGAAAAACTACTGAACTATATTCTCTCTCTCTCTCTCTCTCTCTCTGCTTTCTTGTCTTATCCCCCCCTCCCTTTTGTGGGTCAAGATTGAAGTAATGTTTGAGCCTCAACTCAATGCAAGGTACAGTAAACTCGGCCAAAATAAGACACAAAGCAGTTAAACAAGTAGGCTTTCTTTTTTTCTTTAACAGAGACTAAAATGGAGGAACCATTTTGCATATGTTACATGGGGGGGTTCACGTGAACTCGTTCTTGCTGTTTCTTGAAGTCATAATGCCATTGAAGTTTGTAGCTGTGCATATACACTTCACGTGCCAGTGTGGTACGTGCAATCTCTCTCCCTCTCTCGGTCCCTCTAGTTGTGCCTTGTGAACCGTGATCATGTCTCTGTGAATTTTTTATCCTTTGAACCAAAAATCTGAAGTGGAAAAAGAACAAGATTACAGTGAAGAGACGCGGTTAGGTTGCAGTTCTCTTGCTGGGGTGGTTTGATGGGAGAATTGATTGAGCAAGCTTTGCATTGCATTTCCCGTGAGAGCTTAACAAGTCAATTGTACAGCCTGGTTCTGTGATTTTTCTATTATTTCTCAAGATTCCTGATATATTTCTGTGATATGTCTATGATTTTAAAACAAGATATCGTAGTCCTGTGAGGCAGTGTAAATAACAGTGGGCCGATCAGTTTTCTGAAACCCACATGTTGGAAAATTAGCAAAAATCAATCTTGGCAGACCAAGAAATGAGTGAGTTGCCTGTGGCACTCTATTTTATCCAAAAAGAGCAATGCTAGGACAGAAGATACTAAGAAAATTCTCATATCAAAGGATATGACATGTATTCTTAAACAAGTTGGTCATGTTCAAATGCGCAACAAGAGCCGGTGATATCAACTTGCAAATGAATCATATATTATCCGGGAAAATTATCAAAAAAATCCTAAATTTATTGCACTTGTGCTAATTTAGCCCTAAATCTTTCAATTGTGACAATTGTGCCAATTTATGTTTTGCCAATTGAGTCTATTTGGCCAATTTTGACAGGCATTGACGTGAATAATTTTTGTAACTTTTTTAAAAAAACAAATTTCTTTTTTATTTTTTTATTTCTTTCTTTTGCCGGTCGCCAGAGATAAGGGTTGTCTTCGCTGAATTTGGCATGGGCCGACCTCGAGCCTTGCCTCTCCAGGCAAGGCTCGAGGTTGGCCTACGACAAATCTGGCAAGGGCGATCCTCATCGGTCCTCGATTAGACCACATGTAATTTGAAGGAGTTATGAGTCGAGGTAACAAGTTAATTGAAATTTCACGCCCCGAAAAAAATGTTTTGAGATCCTTTAGATTTAGTGGGCGAAAATGCAGCTTGAATTTGTCTCCTTCAGAGGCCGTCACATCAACACGAGATGACTGTGCAATTATGCTTAATTTTAGAGGATCTCTATTCTAAAAAAAGGATGGGGGTATGATGAACGCACGTCTTTTGTTCTCTTATATCA